ATCAGCCGATAATTTTCTGCACTTCTTTATATGTTTTCCCCTCTCCAATCAACTTTTTAATCAAGGTACGCCGTTCTTCTGAACAATGTCTGGAACGACCCATTTTCCTCAGAATTTCAGAGAGAAATGCACTGTAACCAGCATGTACAACATTTGCTGCCTTCCTTCCTTAAATAAGGGCAATAATTGCCACCTGTTTTTCAAAGAATGAATGACCTCACTAATAGAACTCCACACTTCTATTATTTTGAACACGCCCCTCAATGAGTGATTCAATGACACAGAATCAGCAGCATGCATGTCATGACTGTTGGGTCTGTTGGATTTCTATTCCTCTACTACACCTGCTAGTAAATTATTTGCCATGTAGAAATATCATTTCTACCAAAAACAGTGATTGATCCGGTTAGTGATGTCTGACTGCTATTATTTTGAACACAACTGTATATATACTGTATGTGTGTGTATATATATATATATATATATATTTTATTTATTTCAGGTACTTATATAGTGCCATCAATTTACTCCGCGCTTTACATATATATTGTGCATTCACATCAGTCCCTAACCCTCAAGGGGTGTACAATCTAAGGTCCCTAACTCACATTCATACACATACTAGGGACAATTTAAACAGGATCCTGTTAACCTACCAGCATGTCTTTGGAGTGTGGGAGGAAACCGGAGTACCTGGAGGAAACCCACACAGGGACAGGGAGAACATGCAAACTCCAGGCAGGTGGTGCTGTGGTTGGGATTTCAACCAACGACCCTAGTACTACCAGGCGGAAGTGCTAACCGTTAAGCCACTGTGCTGCCATATGTATATATAATCACATAATATAAACTAATTATTATATTATCTATGTTACACAGGTGTTCCAATCACCTCCATGGACACAGGTGTATACAATCAAGCCCCTAGGCATGCAGACGGCTTCTACAAACATTGGTGAAAGAATGGGTCGCTCTCAGGAGCTCAGTGACTCCAAGCGTGGTCCCGTGATAGGTGGCCACCTGGGCAATAAGTCCATCCGTGACATTTCCTGGCTACTAAATATTCCACGCTCAACTGTTAGTGGGATTATAACAAAGTAAAAGCAACTGGGAACAACAGCCACTCAGCCACCAAGTGGTAGGCCACGTCACATGACAGGGCGGGGTCAGCGCATGCTGAAGCGCACAGTGCGCAGAAGTCGCCAACTGTCTGCAGAGTCAATAGCTAAAGACCTCCAAACTTGGTGTGGCCTTCAGATGAGCCCAACAACAGTACGTAGAGAGCTTCATGGAATGGGTTTCCATGGCCGAGCAGCTGCATCCAAGCCTTACATCACCAAGTGCAATGCAAAGCGTCGGATGCCGTGGTGTAAAGTACGCCGCCACTGGACTCTAGAGCAGTGGAGACGTGTTCTCTGGAGTGACCAATCACGATTCTCTGTCTGGCTACGATTGACATGTCTGGATTTGGCGGTTGCCAGGAGAACGGTACTTGGCTGACTGCATTGTGACAAGTGTAAAGTTTGGTGGAGGGGGGATTATGGTGTGGGGGGGTGTTTTTCAGGGGTTGGGCTTGGCCCCCTAGTTCCAGTGAAGGGAACTCTTAAGGCGTCAGCATACCAAGACATTTTGGACAATTTCATGCTCCCAACTTTGTGGGAAGAGTTTGGAGATGGCCCCTTCCTGTCCCAACATGACTGCGCACCAGTGCACAAAGCAAGGTCCATAAAGACATGGACAGTGCCTGACCTCACAAATGTGCTTCTGGAAGAATAGTCAATCCTCTCCAGGCTGCGGTCATCCCTGCTGCTTGTGCACCTTTTTCTTCCACACTTTTCCCTTCCACATAACTTTCTATTAATGTGCTTTGATACAGCACTTTGGGAACATCCAACTTCTTTCGCAATTACCTTTTGAGGCTTTCCCTCCTTATGGAGGGTGTCAGTGATGGTGTCAGGTCAGCAGTCTTTCCCATGATTGTGATTCCTACTGAACCAGACTGAGAGACCATTTAAAGGCTCAGGAACCCTTTGCAGGTGTTATGGCTGAATGAGCTGATTAGAGTGGGACACTTTGAGCCGAGAATATTCCACCTTTTCACAATATTCTCATTTTCTGAGATTGTGGATTTGGGGTTTTCATGAGCTGTAAGCCATAATCATCACAATGATGACAAATCACGGCTTGAACTATCTTGCTTTGCATGTAATGAGTCTCATATATTAGTTTCACCTTTTAAGTTGCTGCACTGAAATAAATGAACTTTTGCACCATATTCTCATTTTTCGAGTTTCACCTGTATATAGATATTTCAGGGGCTGGACAAAATAAATGGATATGCTACATGATTTGCAGGTGTGAAAGTGACAACACGTTTCACGTTGAAAGCGGAAGTGATGTAACATTCTTTTGCTTCCGCTGTGTGATGAGACACCTAGCTAACAGGTGGGAAGCCTCACTTTCCTCATTTTCTGTGTGTACTGCTAGTAATACAGAGCCATGTCAGAGATTACTGAGCTTCAAAGAGGGCCAATTGTTGGTGCCGCTTCCTCTGTGACTGAAGTTGCCAATTTATTTGCCATGACGCGAGGTACAGTATCAAAGGTTATAACGGCGTATACAGCTTTCGGGAAAACGCTGTCTGATACGTATACATGGGATCGACATGGTCAGCTGACCGAAGGAGACAAAAGAATATCACGCAGGATTGTGACCCACAATAAGAAAAAAGCTGCTGCAAATGTGACTGCAGAGCTCAATCTCAGTCCCCTTAAGACTGAGATTGTGTAATTCTGCAGCTTTTAAATTTTCTTGTCAATGAAAATCGAACTAACATTTTTAACAAAATTTCACTAATGTATGGGCAGTTTTAATAAATACCGCAAAGCTGTATTTGCTCCAACCATCCAATCACATTCAAGCAAAAAAATGTTTTACCTTTCCCTTGCAGATGACTGGCTCTTCCAAGTAGCCACTGGTTCACCTTATTTACCATCATTTACATGAACAGGTTTCCTTTTGTAAATCAACTCCAAGTGAATATGGACATTATTAAAGTGTAAATAAAGGAAAAACGTTTTTTGTAGTTTTGGATAGAGTGGCTGTCAGCGACAGGGATCTTAAGGGCTCCATGTACACAGCAGCTGATAAACTGACATTTAGGAGCTTTTCTGCGTTTTTTTTTTTCAGCAGCCCCTGAACTCTCCCTAATGTTTTCCTATGTGTCCATGTACACATCTTCGTTTACAGTCGTTTACAGGCAGTTCAGTTTACAGTCGTTTTTTTTAACACAGAAAAAGTTGATTTTATCAGCTGTTTAAATGCAAAACGCTTGTAATCGCGGCACACTCCCTACCCACCTCTGAGCACCATCACTTGTTTCCACCCCCTACCCACCTCTGAGCACCATCACTTGTTTCCACCCCCTACCCACCTCTGAGCACCATCACTTGTTTCCACCCCCTACCCACCTCTGAGCACCATCACTTGTTTCCACCCCCTACCCACCTCTGAGCACCATCACTTGTTTCCACCCCCTACCCACCTCTGAGCACCATCACTTGTTTCCACCCCCTACCCACCTCTGAGCACCATCACTTGTTTCCACCCCCTACCCACCTCTGAGCACCATCCTTTGGTTCCACCCCCTACCCACCTCTGAGCACCAGCCTTTGGTTCCACCCCCTACCCACCTCTGAGCACCATCACTTGTTTCCACCCCCTACCCACCTCTGAGCACCATCACTTGTTTCCACCCCCTACCCACCTCTGAGCACCATCACTTGTTTCCACCCCCTACCCACCTCTGAGCACCATCACTTGTTTCCACCCCCTACCCACCTCTGAGCACCATCCTTTGGTTCCACCCCCTACCCACCTCTGAGCACAGTCCCTTGGTTCCACCCCCTACCCACCTCTGAGCACAGCCCCTTGGTTCCACCCCCTACCCACCTCTGAGCACCATCCCCTGGTTCCACCCCCTACCCACCTCTGAGCACCATCCTTTGGTTCCACCCCCTACCCACCTCTGAGCACCGTCACTTGGTTCCACCCCCTACCCACCTCTGAGCACAGTCCCTTGGTTCCACCCCCTACCCACCTCTGAGCACCGTCCTTTGGTTCCACCCCCTACCCACCTCTGAGCACCGTCCTTTGGTTCCACCTCCTACCCACCTCTGAGCACCGTCCCTTAGTTCCACCCCCTACCCACCTCTGAGCACCGTCCTTTGGTTCCACCTCCTACCCACCTGTGAGCACCGTCCTTTGGTTCCACCTCCTACCCACCTCTGAGCACCGTCCCTTGGTTCCACCCCCTACCCACCTCTCAGTACCGCCACCCTAGGTTCACACCTATGCGTTTTCCATAGCATTTTGCAGCAACGCAGTACAGTCCATTGAACATTTCCTATGGGACAGGTTCACATCTCCCTGTTTTCTGTTTGCGTTTTTTGGAAAGGGTCAGGGGCTTATCTGAATGCAAAACGTTGCGCTTTTGGTTCTATGAACTTCAATGGAAATGCTGCAGAATAGCGTTTTTTCCACGTTTCTGATGCATTTTTATGTGTTTTCTGTTATAAATCTGCCCAGCAACAAGAAAATGAAAAATAAAATGAAAAAAAAAAACATTAAAAATGTGGCAAAAATGCAATGCAGAATCGGGTCAAACGCAATCTGCGTAGGTGTGAACCTAGCCTGAGGAGGCGGCTCAGAGATATGAAACGTCTCGAACGATCCATCTAAAGGTGACTCACTACTTTCTAGGCCATTCCGGAGAGTACATTGCTGAGTCACGGTATGAAGTCCGGAGTGTACATTGCTGAGTCACGGTATGAAGTCATCTCAGCGTGCTCCAATAATAACATGTTACATGTGATCGCATTACATCATCACCGCGACGTCCACTAAACTAGCTCAGAAAATCCTTCTGCTCTGTTAAGGGTTAAAGCACCCAAGAAATGCTGTTTAACTTCTAGGTGAAGTCTGATGTGGTAAGTGAGCTGTCTCATGGACCCCGGCTGTACTCACCTCCCCCATGTCAGAGTGATCCAGATCTTCCTTCTGTTACATTCCCCATAAAAAAAAATAATATAAATATAAATGCAGCAGGGATGGTGGGAACCCCTCATAATGGGCACAGGGGGTGTACAGAGCTGGGAACTGATCACAGGGATGGTGGGAACCCCTCCTAATGGGCACAGCGGGTGTACAAACACGGGAACTCAGCAAAGGGATGGTGGGAACCCCTCATAATGGGCACAGCAGGTGTACAGAGCCGGGAACTGATCACAAGGATGGTGGGAACCCCTCATAATGGGCACAGCGGGTGTACAGAGCCGGGAACTGATCACAGCGACGGTGGGAACCCCTCATAATGGGCACAGCGGGGTGTACAAACACGGGAACTGATCACAGGGACGGTGGGAACCCCTCATAATGGGCACAGTGGGTATACAGAGCCGGGAACTGATCACAGGGACGGTGGGAACCCCTCATAATGGGCACAGCGGGTGTACAAAACACGGGAACTGATCACAGGGACGGTGGGAACCCCTCATAATGGGCACAGTGGGTATACAGAGCCGGGAACTGATCACAGGGACGGTGGGAACCCCTCATAATGGGCACAGCGGGTGTACAAACACGGGAACTGATCACAGGGACGGTGGGAACCCCTCATAATGGGCACAGTGGGTGTACAGAGCCGGGAACTGATCACAGGGACGGTGGGAACCCCTCATAATGGGCACAGCGGGTGTACAGAGCCGGGAACTGATCACAGGGACGGTGGGAACCCTTCATAATGGGCACAGCGGGAGTACAGACCCGGGAACTCAGCAAAGGGGTGGTGGGAACCCCTCATAATGGGCACAGCGGGTGTACAGAGCCGGGAACTGATCACAAGGATGGTGGGAACCCCTCATAATGGGCACAGCGGGAGTACAGACCCCGGGAACTCAGCAAAGGGGTGGTGGGAACCCCTCATAATGGGCACAGCGGGTGTACAGAGCCGGGAACTGATCACAGGGACGGTGGGAACCCCTCATAATGGGCACAGTGGGTGTACAGAGCCGGGAACTGATCACAGGGACGGTGGGGGAACCCCTCATAATGGGCACAGCGGGTGTACAGAGCCGGGAACTGATCACAGGGACGGTGGGAACCCTTCATAATGGGCACAGCGGGAGTACAGACCCGGGAGGGAACTCAGCAAAGGGGTGGTGGAAACCCCTCATAATGGGCACAGCGGGTGTACAGAGCCGGGAACTGATCACAAGGATGGTGGGAACCCCTCATAATGGGCACAGCAGGTGTACAGACCCGGGAACTCAGCACGGGGATGGTGGGAACCCCTCATAATGGGCACAGCGGGTGTACAGACCCAGAAACTCAGCACAGGGATGGTGGGAACCCCTCATAATAGAATAAATAAGAAGAAGTATGAAGAATGAGGATATAGACTGTATAATGTAAATGGTGTCAATGTGTTTCTGCAACGCTATAGAAAATGCGGACGAAGAAGAATCAGCTCTGTAGAAAATGAGGGGAAAAAAAATACGCTGATCACCACAGACATTTCTACAGACTTTTTTTTTTTGGGGGGGGTGGGGGGATAGAACACAACCCACCTATACCGTGCCGTCACATTACAATCCAACCAAATATAATCCAATATAACATAATACAATACTGATCCTATTACATACAGTACAGGCGTACCTCAGTGATATCACATGAGCCGGTGTCATTTCCTACCACAAGACTGGCCCTCATCTTCTAGAGCAGGGGGGCTCCAAACTTTATACACAAAGGGCCAGTTAGCTGTCTTTCAGACTTTAGGGGGGAGTCTGTCGCCAATGGGGTAGAAAATGCCCCGGCATCACAGGGAGTAAACAATACCTTGGGCTTTGTGGTCAGTAGGAGTAAAAAACAAATGACATGGTACCTGAGGTCAGTAAGAGGAATAGTGCCCCATCATTGGTGTCAGTGGGGGGAATAGTGCCCCATCATTGGGTGTGTGTGGGAGGAATAGTGTCCCATCATTGGTATTAGTAGGAGGAATAGTGTCCCATCATTGGTGTCAGTGGGAGGAATAGTGCCCCATCATTGGCGTCAGTGGGAGGAATAGTGCCCCATCATTGGTGTCAGTAAGAGGAATAGTGCCCCATCATTGGTATCAGTGGGAGGAATAGTGTCCCATCATTGGTATTAGTGGGAGGAATAGTGCCCCACCATTGGTGTCAGTGGGAGGAATAGTATCCCATCATTGGTGTCAGTGGGAGGAATAGTGCCCCATCATTGGTATCAGAGGGAGGAATAGTGCCCCATCATTGGTGTCAGTGGGAGGAATAGTATCCCATCATTGGTGTCAGTGGGAGGAATAGTGCCCCATCATTGGTGTCAGTGGGAGGAATAGTGCCCCATCATTGGTATCAGAGGGAGGAATAGTGCCCCATCATTGGTATCAGTGGGAGGAATAGTGCCCCATCATTGGTATCACTGGGAGGAATAGTCCCCCATCATTGGTGTCAGTGGGAGGAATAGTGCCCCATCATTGGTGTCAGTGGGAGGAATAGTGCCCCATCATTGGTATCAGTGGGAGGAATAGTGCCCCATCATTGGTATCAGTGGGAGGAATAGTGGCCCATCATTGGTATCAGAGGGAGGAATAGTGCCCCATCATTGGTGTCAGTGGGAGGAATAGTGCCCCATCATTGGTATCAGTGGGAGGAATAGTGCCCCATCATTGGTATCAGAGGGAGGAATAGTGCCCCATCATTGGTGTCAGTGGGAGGAATAGTGCCCCAAGGGCCTTATAAAGGCAGGCATAGAGCAGTATCTGGCCCATTGGTCGCAGTTTGGAGATCACTGCTCTAGTATACTATATAAGCATATCAACCCAGCACAGAGAAAAGTGGAACAAGAATACAATGTATGTCCATGAGGAGGATTGTCTCTTATCCAGGTCATGGTATGGTATTATTAGTACATCTGGTTCACAGGAATGTGAAAGGGGCCTCCTCCTGTACATCATACTGGAACAATCATCACTGAACCACGGTGTGTGGGGGGCCTTCAATACAATCTGTCACCCATATATAATCGTACTATCTCTACCCCGGGGCTTTGACAATGTACACCTTCAGCCAAGTAAACCTCAGGAACAAAGGATTACCATCTATGGAATCTTCCTGACACCAAGGATGGGGTTATCTGCTAGACCAGGGTGGCTCCACATCTCTCATTCTGTTCTTGGAAATCAACATCTGCCTTTCTATGGTGATTGGAATAGGACATTGGGGGTTCCCAGGTTAGATATGTCCCTGACACTCCTGTGGCTACTACTAGACTCACAAATACAAAAATCAGAAGTCATGTATTGTAGAGACATGATACAGAAATATGTTGGGCGCCTCAGCCAGATGACTCATAAATGTGTCTGTCCAAAGTTCTCAATACGTCTCTATTTATACCAGGTGGGTAAACTTGTTGGACTTTGGAGTTTTGTTGATGATAGATATGCTGAAACATTGGCCAGGAAATTGGATATTCCCTGGATCAACTTTACCTATAAATGTTATATCCAGTTATATTCTGTGTATCCAAGAAAGAATCCAGGACTTTCCTACAGCAATCCACTGAGCTGGCCACAACCAACTCTTGAGGGAGTCTATTCCACATTTTCACAGCTCTTACTGTGAAGAAACCTTTCCGTGTTTGGAGATTACATTTCTTTTCGTCCAGACGTAAAGAGCGCCCCCTTGTCCTCTGTGATTACCTCAATGAATAGCTCTACACCGAGTTCACTATATGAACCACTGATGTATTTATACATGGAGATCATATCCCCCCTTATGTATTATACATGGAGATCATATCCCCCCTTATGTATTATACATGGAGATCATATCCCCCCTTATGTATTATACATGGAGATCATATCCCCCCTTATGTATTATACATGGAGATAATATTCCCCCCTTATGTATTATACATGGAGATCATATCCCCCCTTATGTATTATACATGGAGGTCATATCCCCCCTTATGTATTATACATGGAGATCATATCCCCCCCCCTTATGTATTATACATGGAGATCATATCCCCCCTTATGTATTATACATGGAGATCATATCCCCCCTTATGTATTACACATGGAGATCATATCCCCCTTATGTATTATACATGGAGATCATACCCCCCCTTATGTATTATACATGGAGATCATATCCCCCTTATATATTATACATGGAGATCATATCCCCCTTATATATTATACATGGAGATAATATTCCCCCCCTTATGTATTATACATGGAGATCATATCCCCCCTTATGTATTATACATGGTGATCATATCCCCCCCTTATGTATTATACATGGTGATCATATCCCCCCTTATGTATTATACATGGAGATCATATCCCCCCTTATGTATTATACATGGAGATCATATCCCCCTTATGTATTATACATGGAGATCATATCCCCCCTTATGTATTATACATGGAGATCATATCCCCCCTTATGTATTATACATGGAGATCATATCCCCCTTATATATTATACATGGAGATAATATTCCCCCCTTATGTATTATACATGGTGATCATATCCCCCTTATATATTATACATGGTGATCATACCCCCCCCTTATGTATTATACATGGAGATCATATCCCTCTTATGTATTATACATGGAGATCATATCCCCCCCTTATGTATTATACATGGAGATCATATCCCCCCCTTATGTATTATACATGGAGATCATATCCCCCCTTATGTATTATACATGGTGATCATATCCCCCCGGGGGGGGGGCTCAGAATATGCCAAAAAAATGATCCCAGAAGAGAGAAAAAACTCCAATAGACTCTCCCTTTGATAATGTGTGATTACACGAAACACGTCAGGGAGACACCCCTGTACATGGATTACTGACCTGTTATGCTACTCTGTTTACAATTGGATGTAAGTGACCGTTTTTTACTTGATTTGAATTGTAACTCCATTTGACTAATAAACACTACACTATTGGAGTTTTTTCGCTCTTCTGGGCTCATTTTTTGGGATATATATTGGCACCTACGACATTGAAAGCACAGAGTGGGCTGTTTTTGCATCTTAATGTATTTTACACAGTTTTGCACTGTTTGAAGCACTTTTACTTTGCACATTTGAGTCGATTGCTGATTGTTTTTATATTATATGGTATTATTTTATATTATTTTGATATTTTGATACACATTGTGGAGCGCGACACATATTATTATATTTATAGTTTACATTTTTTGCACAGTATATGAGTATGTGTATAGTGTTGCTGTACCAGTATTATAGCGATTATTGATTATTTATATTTGATTAGTTATATATGTACATTCTTATAGGATTTTTGCACAGAGGGAATACCACATTCATTTTAGCTCACAAGTATTTCACACATTTTACACTCGGGAATACACTGCAGCGTTGCTCTGGGATCTCTTCTTCACTTACCTTGTCCTGCGCTCCCGCGATGTCCCCCTCTGCAGTGTCCCCTGTAATGTCCTCCAGCCAATGCCGGCATCTGTCTTCTGGGTTTTGTTCCCTGCGACATCGGGACGTACGGGGGATGGAACTGGCGGGAAATTTGAAAGTTGTAAAAGTGACATTCACTAAATTCACTAAAATCACATAGTATAACATTCCTGTATCAAACCATTTCACATACATTTTGTCCCGAGTGCTTTGTCCGGCGCCCTGCCTGCATTTTTACTGTTCTTTCTGCCTGGAAACTGAGAAACGTCCATGGCGTCCAAAAAGCATCCCTTTAGGTCAAAAGCGGTTTTAGACCGGCTAGAGAACAGCGATAGTAAATCAGAACCACTTGCAGAATTGAGTGATAATGATTCGTCATCAGACACTGAAAACAATTTTGCAACTGAGCTCAGCGATGTGCGAACTTGGCGCTCTATTTCAAATTTCAGTGTTTTTGGTTTGATTATATTTATTAATTAAATTTATTATTATATTATTACTTTTTATGATTATTTATTAAATTATAATTTATGATTTCGTGTTTCAAATTTTATCATCCCCGGGATGTTTACTAGACTCTTGTTCGGACAGATTTCACTGAGTTATTTCTAAAAACGATATAAGCACCTGAAATAAATAAATAAATAAAATTACAGGCCTACAATAAAAAAATACATATTTCCATGCAAAAAAATTTACTGTTTTGGGCACAGAAATATGGACATAGTCAGACCACTAGGGAGGTTAATATGTCCCATGAATTTATTTCACAGAAAGAAAAACAAATTTAAAAAAAAAAAAGATCAAATAAAATCACAGCAACTTGATACAAATAATGATCAAATACACAAATAGGGAATATAACTCAACTACAAAGAACACGAAACC